CTTGGATTGTTTCAGTCTCAAATCAGATCAGACCGTACTAGACCAAACTAGACAAGAATTGGACAGTTATAAAATATACAGAGACTAGACATTTACCAGATTAGATCAAACCAGTTCATACAAGATCATTGGAATTGTAAGCTTGACTGCTTGAGTGGTGTGTTTGAAATTTATCACCCATTTAAACTTGTGCGATTGGAAGTAATGCGTAGACCGTAATATATATGCAGACAATAACAGACAAGCAAACACATACTCCTGGATCGTAGTAGTATATAATGTACCACATAATTTAATAAATGATTTAGGTCAAGTTATAGTATAATTGAAGCGTTGTGTTGATAAAAAAAATTACACTAATTGGACTAAAATTTTTTGGCATGGTTTGATCTGACCTAGTCTATTTAAGTTTGAACTGACGTGATCTAATCTGTTTAAATTTGATCAGATCTATTTAGTTCTGATTTGATTTGATCTAGTCTGGGTTAGGATTGAAAACACGTTGGGTTGATTAAAAGATTGACAATATGGCATAATTGGGACAAAAATACACTACTAGGTCAAGAAGAAAATTCATCATGGAGACAATATATGCATCCACATTGGATGATAGCCATTCATATGAAAGTGATTTGGTATGTTGATGATTACTAAATGATAAACGTTTGTAATAGAATGTAAGAACTTTAGAGATAGAGGTAAGTTCCAGCACTTATTTTGTTGATACCATTTTTTATCATATCTTTATACATTCAATAATTTCGAGTTATCATTATGTCACTATAGGAAATTATTTGTACTTTTAAACTGGTCTAAAGTCGGACCTTATTGTGTGCTTTTATGACATTTCTCTCTCATTCTTTTCACGGTTTTATGTGTTTTTGATAAGTTTTCCTCTGCAATGTCAAGCACAATGTCTACATCTAGACATTGTACTTGACATTGTGAAGAATAAGGAGAGATGTATAGACTGGTCCAAAATGATACAAGATCCTGCAAATAAGGAGAGATGTATTCTATTCATTATTTTTTTAATTGGTTATATCTCATGTCACGTATGTACCGTTCACGTTTTAGCATTGGAAATGCCCTAACCATTGAAGAAGGTTATGAGAAAGTATAGAGCTTTTCACGGGACAAGCATAATTGACCATAGGATAATTTATGTTGGACTTTAAAATACATGCCACACTGCATGGGCTATGTCCCAAGTCCATCTATTGGGAACCTGATTTTTCTTTACTATAAGGAGTTGGTTCTGCTCATCTTACTCTTATTGTTTATTCTTATTTTATTAAAATCGGATCAGAAAAATTCAAATTAATCAGATTAAATCAAATCAGAAAATTCAAATCAGATCAGATTAGGAAAATTCATATCATATCAACTATTTTTTCAAATGTTCAGATCAGAAACTCTCAATAATATATTTTATTGAACGTAAAGTTTACACAATAATATTGTACACGCAAAAGGATGGGTTGCATGTAAAGTTTAGGGAATTGATTCTTGAACGTGTATACGGAAAAGAAATTATTTAGTTATGTGTGTAGTTTATATTTGATAGAGTATATGAACTCAGATCCCCGGACTCACGACTATTGGGCCTGAACAGCGGTTCAGCCCGTTATTTCTCTATAAATACTCCCTATGAGAGGTCTTGTAAACCTAATCAATCAATATTATACACATTATTCATATTCTTCTCCACTTTCTAGCTTAATCTCTACTAAAATACATGTTTGAATACCCTATAATCAGAGGCGTCTTTAGAACTCTGAAGGCCTTAGACGGAAAAACATTTAATATTGACATATCATATCATTGTGATTTCTGTAACACAAAATACATTTAGAAAAATAATATGGAGTATGATATAAATTGATAAAAACACAAAATGTGAAAAACAACACCAAAGTGCATCCATTATATAATAAATTTTTAATGTAAACATATGTAAAATGGACCAAAACTTACATCTAAACGTTCTAAATCTTTATTGGATGTTCCATCTAAACGTTCTAAATCTTTATTTTCATTTTATAAAAATAATTAAATCTTTTAAATGACAAATTAACCATCACATATTAAAACTAATACTCTCATAACATCGCACTTATAATCTGTTAAGGTTACTCTATTATATTCTATACTATACTCTCCTATCCCAAACTATTTCTTAAATTACACTTAAACTATCTTATTTAATTATTAACTTAAACATTGCCCTATAAATGAAAACTATGATGGAGTAGTACTTTTTATTCCCTACGAATCTTGATTTTTGATTGCCGGTCAACAAAAAGCTAAAATTCACAAATAAAGAATGGTTAGTGAAAAAAAAAAACTAAAGAACTGCTCCCATCAAATTAATCAAACATTACTTCATAATACATTAATGTGATGGTTGCAGTACTAACACATTAATGTGATGTTGCGAGCCTGAAAACTAATTAAAGCTAAAATAACTTATCTTTGAACTTTGAACCCAATAACCTTAAGTATAATTTTACACAATGTCGAAAATGAAGGAGGTTGTTTCCAAACTCTTAAAATTAAAATAGATATTTTATACTATTAATAATTTTTTGAGGCCCCACTAGAGTATGAGGCCCAAGGCAAATGCCTGGTCATACTCCCCTCAAAGTCGCCCCTGCCTATTATCCATCAAAGTGTATATATATTTCACGCAAAGAAATTGCGTTCTTTTATAATAACCATGTATAGTATTTACAGCCTTCACGTAAAATATTATTTTACATTGTGTAGTTTAAAATGTTTAAAGAAATATCTTATATTTTTATGAAATCGTCAAATCAAACGATGTATATTGTGTACATTTCAACATTTCGCATGTAACATACTCAATTTATATCTTACAAAATATCGCAAATAATCTATATATTAGATGTGAAATGATAAAAGTTTTGTATCTAAGATGTATTGTGTGCGACTTTTTTTTTGTTCTTTTTCTATAAAAAGTAAATGCGGTTTTATACCTTATATGTATACATAATATCACCCATTATTTTAGTTTGAATGCCGATCTTTATTTCTGTTTCCTCGTTCCTAATTGTAATATGAGTGCTCTAAACTTTGTTGTGATTAACAATAGTTGATTATATTTCTTTCAAACAAAATACTTTTTAGTACAAAAACGTTCCGTGCACACAACGTTTTACACGCTCGTGTACACGCTATAAAAAAGTTTTTTTACCGAATCATTTCTCCTCACTCCACTTCGTATCCTCTTCTACTCCCTGCCTTTTTTGTATGCAGGTAACCTCTTCCGCAATGGCGGACCTTAATAAAGACCCAGGGGGCATGCCCCCCACAAAAAAAATATTTTTTTCATCACATATATGAGAGAAATAAAATTGGCCCCCCATTCCCCCAAAAATAACCCCCTCCCCCCAAATATAAGTAATTTTAACAAAGTTAATCACAATAAAATTGTGGTTAGGAATGGTAATGAGGCGAGGTTCACTCCCTCATCCCCGCCCCACTCCTACCCGTGTGTATCCAACAGGGGAAATTAAATATTTGTCAAACAAAATTAAATAATATTGTTAGAGTAAATAAATTTGAAAATCAAGTATGTTACTTACAAACAAAACATTTTTTTTCAATCGCTTTTTATACTAGAATGTTATAACACTAGCGCATTGACAAAACAAAGTTAATTGATTTTTTACAAGCCTTCAAAAATTTAATAGATTTGGTCATTCTGGGCAAAGTCACAAAAAAGATTATAGTCGTGGGAATTCTTAGCAGATGATCCAAAAAACTGCCTGGGCAGTTTACAAGTCTTCAAGCTAGACAATAGACTCATCACCACATTTTTTTGAAAATCAAATAACTAATTTATTATTAAACGATAGCAAAGCTACAAGAGAATGAATAGCCTAAGGCTACAATAGGATGTGACATAGAACGGAACAGATCCAATGAATCCTTCAAGATCTCTAACCCCGCAATAATGTAGTCTAGTCTAACAGTCTTACTGCTCTTCTTGTTACTCCAAAGAGAAAATAAAAAATTACAACTAAAAGATCCGGCTTCATCAGCCACCGGAAAGGGAGAAATGGTTTGACCAACAACCAACAAAGGAAAATCAATGGAACAAAAATTTTCTGAAGCATCAGTTTGACCAGCCACCAAAAAGGAGACCCAATTGATCATGTTCTTCTTCCTAGAGCGAGGCGGTGGTTCAGGTGGTGGGCATGTATTTGAAGCATTGGAACAACAAGATTGAAAAAACTTTACCAACCATGAACATTAAAGATTCACCAGATCGATTCCACCGATTAATAACACAAAACCTCTAGACATTGCTAGAAGAATAACATACCACACGCTCACATGAAGGGGACAAAATTCTCGGCCAATGAAGAAGCCGGACCAAAATCCTCGAAAATAGAAATTAAAAAAGAGCGGAAACATTGAAAAACCTTTCATTTGATCTTTCACTGCATAGAGAATTTCAGGCATGGTATATTGATTGATGATCCCATGATCTTTACAAAGTTCATGAAAAGAGTCGGGAGCCTTACCAATATCAGTGTGTTGACCATAGAACTCTCCACCCCTATCCGATCTCACTACTTTGATCTTTCGATCGAGTTGATTTTCAACTTTGGCTTTATAAGCCTTGAACATATCTAGTGATTCAGATTTTTCCTTAATCAAATATAGGTACATATAGCGTGAGTAATCATCTATGAAAGTAATAAAGGAGTTATGAACACTAATGGAATCGGGAAAAGGCCCACAAATATCAGTGTGTATTAATTCCAACAAACCGGTGCTTCGTGTGGCGCCTTTCTTAGTTTTCTTAGACAATTTTCCTTTCAAACACTTCACACACTTGTCATAATCTGAGAGTCTTATCATTCGATCTCGTGATATGTGGCCAACCTTTGATGCCACAAATTGGATGAGAATTCCAATTCTCACTTTCTCTTGCAAGGATTTTCAGTTATATTAAATGACAAAGGGGATTCCATAAAATTAGTATCTAAGCATAATTTATAGAGGTTTCCCTCCATGCTACCAAATCCTATTACATTTGAGTTCAAGCTTATTGTCACTTTATTGTATACGAAATTAAATGTAAAACCATCAACACTTAGTTTCAATACAGACACTAAATTACGAGTAATATTAGGTACATAAAGAGCATCACAGAGATGAAGAATGAAGCCACTCTCTAAAATTAATGAGATAGATCCAATGGCCTCTACTTCTAATTCTTCTTCATTGCCCACCTTAATCACTCTTTGCTTTCTTCCCAATGTCCGGATTGAATGGAATCCCTGCAGTGTGTTTGAAACATGAACAATTGAACCAGAGTCAATCCACCAAATATTAATGGGAACTGATGTGTTCATTGACTCATAAATTACATAAGTGGTTAAGTTACCTTTCTTAGTCAGCCATGTCTTAAACTTAGGACACTCCCGGCCTCTGGTAATGCCTTTTGATACGACAAAATTTACAGTAGGGATCGGAGCTCACGCTTGCACCTATGTTTGGGACCTTAGACATGTTACATTTTTCTCCTCCGATCCTTGACGGTTGCCTTTCCTTTTCCTTGAGTTTGTGATGGTAAGATGAGCAACATCTGGTTTTTCAACTTTTAGGCATTCTTCTTCTTGAACGCACATGGCAATCAACTTGCTCATGGTCCACTTCTCTTTCGGCGTGTTGTAATTGATCTGATCTTGAACGGACCATAAGACGCAGGTAGAGAAGTCATTATGAAATGAACGAGAAAACCTTCACTAATCTCCATGTCCATACTTTTGAGCTTGTTAGACATATCAGACATTTTCATGATGTGCTCACGAATACCACTCACTCCATCGTACTTATTAGTCAAAATTTTGAGAATCAGGGTACTAGCATGTGCTTTAGAGGCGCCCTTAAACTGTTCTTCCACATATTCTAGGTAGGTTTTCGCATTTTCAGAGTCGGGAATCACTCCGCGAATAGATACTAATATGGAATTCTTAATCACCATGAGGCACATTCGGTTGGACCTCTTCCACTGTTCATAATAACACTTCTGCTCAATAGTGCTTTCAGCGTTAGGAGCATCTGGTGGGTCAATTCTTAGCGCTTGCATTGGTCGAGGTCTATCATGCCAAGGGAGAGTTTTACAGATTCTCTTCATGTTGAAAAGTTTGTACCATTTAGAGGTTCTATCCCATAATTGTATGGGGTAACAGTAGATGCTAAAATAAAAATTTTAACAGAGGCAATAATAGAAGCTATTTAAAATATATATATAAGGGAATTTATATATATCCCCTTATCAAAGTTTGGATCAATCATGAGTAAATAAGCCTATTATCAACACCAAATAATAGGAAAATTTCATATCGTGTTTAATAACTAACAATGCGTTGGCTAATGCTAACTATCAAACATTATGATATTGAAGTTAAAATTTAGGCTGCAAATTGTGTCACATATCAGTATCACCTTTGGGCAGAAATATAAAACATTTGTTTATGCTTAAATTTCATTATACAAGTTATCAAATAACACACCTTTGGGTTTGTTAAAAGAAAACTAATATAATCGTTTCAGATAGTCAAAATCAATAATCTTCCATTTGGCTGATTGAATTTGACATTAAGTTTATCAATAATCCATATTACAACTTTGAATATGGAAGCAAATTGAATTTGATGCAGTAGTAGTCCTAAATCATGGACTATGTTTTAAGCATCTTGCATATGGTCAAATCTATCAAATTCTTGCGTTTTGGAATGATATTATTCATTCTGGAAAACAAAAATTGCAGGTCCAAAAACCCAACTAGTGCTTCATTTATGTGTTTATATCGATGTTCTTAATCAATAAAAGAAAGCAACACAATTATATACATTTCTTGCAGATTGTACTCTGCACATTCTGGAAGAATTAAACACTTATACTTTATCTTGATGAACGAAAATGCGGACAAAAGGATTCATTTCAAAACTGAATTTAAGTTCAAAGAATAAAACAATAGACTGATGCATACGAAAATTAACAGTCACATACATCACTTTAACATATACGTAGTATATACAGGAGGACTTTTCATGTCCAGCCAGCCTGACGGGAACCGCCGTCCGGCCGAGGGCATTTCGGGCACTTCCCGGTGGAATTTTTTGATGAAATTTTTTGGGAATGTTCTTCATCAAGTCTAGTTTATCCATACCAAATTTCAGCTCAAAATTCGATATGAAAGGCATTCAAATAATTTTTTGAAGTTGACTGGGTTTTTATATGTATACTTTGACACAGTCAACTTCAAAAGCTTATTTGAATGCCTTCCCGATCGAATTTTGAGCTGAAATTTGGTATGGATAAACTAGACTTCATGAAGAACATGCTCAAAAAATTTCATCAAAAATTTCCATCGGGAAGTGCCCAAAATTCTCTCGGCCGGACGGAGAATCCCGTCAGGCCGGCTGGACAAGAACGGGACTCGTATATACGGAATACAAAACCATATATACATATGTGAATCATTAAATGTGGTGTCAGGCACTTCTTATATAAACTAATGCATCACAATGAAAACCACAGTTTCATTTTCTATCGGAACGTCCGGAAAGTGGGTTTGAAGAATAAGAATAAAAAATGAATCATGATGTTATGGTCGGCACATTTGATACTCCAATCGATATTAGAGGCAGCGACACAACTAATTAATAATTAAATTGAAAAACTGACAAGATAATTCAGCGGAAACAATATGACTACCAGAACACTTCAACAGGTTTTCACATAATGAAAAGTATGAACGGGGAAAACCACATAAGCGATTAATTACGGCTAATCAAAGTTCGAAATTTATGAATGTTAGCGAGAGATATATGACTCTGATACCAAATATTGATAAATCCAGTCCCAAATTAGGATCTAATCTCACAAACATGATAAATTTCATAGAATCAATCAATAAGAACACTGACCAATTGAGGAGAAACCAAACTTTGATTGTGTTATAAAAGATGATGAAGCCATAGTCATGGATATGTGGATTCTCTAAGGATACAAATGCCTTGTGATGGATTGATCGGTTCTCATTTGAGTCTCTTTATAATAGTGTTCTTGGGACCCTAAGGAAGAGGCATGTCTCTTCTTTTGTCGTAAGATTAAGAGCCGAACGAGTGTCTATGTTTGTATCAAAGAGAAAAATGACCTCTGGTTTGGACCATTTTCAGATAGGGGCATGTGTTTCATTTTCTAACAAAGTGGGGCATGTGTTTCAATTCCGTTATAGCAGGGGCATGATGTCTAACGCCGTTAGAAAAATTAACTCCGATTTTAAAAAGTCTCCGAAAAAATAAAAGAAAAATACTGGGAGGTGCGCCTCGTCAAGGAGATCAACAAACTATTTTTCTCTTTGGATTTTTCGGCTCTATTTGGATTATTTTTAAAAACAAATTCAGTAATATCAATTTTCTGGTGGACTTTCTGGAGATATGGTGGCTGGAAACAAAAAAATAAAGATAGTTTGTTGATCTCCTTAACGAGGCGCACCTCCCAGTATATTTCTTTTAATTTTTCGGAGACTTTTTAAAATCGGGGTTAAGTTTTCTAACAGCGTTAGATGTCATGCCCCTGCTATGATAACGGAATTGAAACACATGCCCCGCTTTGTTAGAAAATGAAACACATGCCCCTATCTGAAAATGGTCTAAACCGCAGGTACGTTTTATGTACTTTTCCCTATTATTTAATGTTAAAACATACCCATCGTTAACTATATCAATACAGGGACCAAATATGTCATATGGCAAACTTAATTGTTAGACATGAATGTCCTCAATATTTATTAAATTATATAAATGGTCCAAGGGCACATTGGAATATTTTCCAACGTTGAATACTTTAAGAAGCTCTAAATTAAATGATTCCGGTGAATTAAATCATGGAAGGTAATTAAGTATACGTAAACACTAGGTATTCAAGCATCTCCAATGGTAAAATGTGCACGGTGCACACGTGGCATGAGAAATGACCACATAAATATTAGTAAATAAATTCTTTCTCTCCTTATTTGAATGATTTTATACAGTTTTGGTAAGTTTTTCTCCACAATGTCTAGGAGACCGTCTAGATGTTGACATTGTTGTTGACATTGCAGGGAAAAACTTACCAAAATTGTATAAAATCATTCAAATAAGGAGAGAGATAATTTATATGCTAATATTTATGTGGCTATCACTCATGCCACATGTGCACCGTGCACATTATAGCATTGGAGATGCTCTTCGGGGCCTCGGGTTTAATCGGTTGTTGATTTGAGCTAGGGCACCAACACTCTTTTGATATTCATAGCTTCTCACTTTTATGATATTCTTGATTCTCATCTCTATCTAACGCTGAGAATCAGCTCACCTTTTATACCACCACTATTAGATGAAGGATGAGTAAGTTATTGTGTCTTAGAATCAACTCAAGGATTTATCAATCAACTTTTATGGCATCTCTTCTATTTGTCCCATGATCCAATTCACTTGAAGTTTGGGTCTCTATCTATATATACTCTAGATAAATTTGATTGGATTCTCTTGGTAAGAAATACTCCGTACTGTACTTATGTTCTGTTTGGAATTGCTCATTTAAAATAACACACTTTTTAGGATAATACGGAGTAGTTAAATAAAATAATTTGAGCGAAATTTGAGAAATTTTGCTTGAAAAGCTAGAGAAGAACATGGACTTATCGGAGTTTTTTCCCGAAATAATGTTAATTAAATAAATAATTCCCAAAATACTGTTGGGTTAAAAATAATTCCCAAAATACTGTTGGGTTAACCGTGGTTAAGAAAAGCCGTCACTTGAAGTGGCGGCTCTTCTATTACAGTACAAAAGCCGCCACTTCAAGTGGCGGCTCTTCACTTACAGTACAAAAGCCGCCACTTGAAGTGGCGGCTCTTCTCTTACAGCACATTTTGTACATGTATAAAACGCAGTATGTTTCAAGAATTTTTTAACTATCTTCCCGATTTAATTTTGAGCTCAAATTTTGTATGAATAAACTAGACTTGATGAGGAACATGATCAAAAACATTTCATCAAAAAATTCCACTGGGAAGACCCTCTTATGGTGTTGTCTGCACGGGGGTTCCGGTCAGGACGTCGTGACAGGAATAGGACATTTTTATGAAATTTGATGTGCTTCAGTTGATTTTGTTGATGACATTTTGTGATCATGTTCTTTCTAAAGTGTAGGTTATGTTCACCGAATTTTAGATTAAATTTAAATCAAGAAGTTAGTTAAATTATTTATTGAAAAAACATGCATTTTTAGGCCTAAAAAATTGTGCAAATTTTCAATAACACATAAACATATATGAACACAAGTACATAATATAATATGTGGATGTACCCTAACCCCTACCCCACCCTACCCTTCCGCCACAACCTTAACCCCTACCTCTTCCTTACCCCTACTCTAACTACGACCTTATCCTCTGCCCCTATTCCCCTCGTAACCCCTACCTGTTAGGGGTGGGGTCGGGGTCGAGGTAGGGGCATGTGGTATGGGGTAAAGGGGTAGGGTAAGGGGGGTTGGTTAGGGGTGGTAAGGGCTAGGGGGTTAAGGTAGGTGGGGGGATGGGGTCGAGGTAGGGGCAGGTGGATGGTGGGGTAAAAGAGTGGGGTCGGAGTAGGGAAGAGGTATGGGGTGGGGTGGAGGTGGGCTTGTAAGTAGGGTAGGATGGGTAGGGGTCGGGTGGGATCGAGTTAGAGGAAGGTAGTAGGGGGTAAAGGGGTAGGGGGTAAGTAAGGGGCTGGGGCAGAATGGGTTGGGGGTAGGTTGGGGGATGGGGTCTGGGTGGAGTAGTGATGGACCCGGGCCGGGCCGGTTCCGGTTCAGGCCTGGGCTCGGCCGAGCTTTTTTTGGGGAAGGGAGAACCGGCCCAGGTAGGCAGCGGTTCCGGGCCGGTTCCGGCATTTATTTATTGTTAGAAAATCATTATACTCATCAACAAAATCAACTCGGAAGCACCTCAAATTTCATAAAAATGTCCTATTCTTGTCACGACGTCCTGACTGGAACCCCCGTGCAGACAACACCACCAGAGGGTTTTCCCAGTGGAATTTTTTGATGAAATGTTTTTGATCATGTTCCTCATCAAGTCTAGTTTATTCATACAAAATTTGAGCTCAAAATTAAATCGGGAAGATAGTTAAAAATTCTTGAAACATACTGCGTTTTATATATGTACAAAATGTGCTGTAAGAGAAGAGCCGCCACTTCAAGTGGCGGCTTTTGTACTGTAAGTGAAGAGCCGCCACTTGAAGTGGCGGCTTTTGTACTGTAAGAGAAGAGCCGCCACTTCAAGTGGCGGCTTTTCTTAACCACGGTTAACCCAGCAGTATTTTGGGAATTATTTTTAACCCAACAGTATTTTGGGAATTATTTATTTAATTAACATTATTTCGAGAAAAAACTCGACTTATCGACATATATTTAGTGACGGTTAAAATTGTTGATAATTATCAGCAGAATTGTTAATTCCTCGGACAGAAATGCAACCACCTTACATGACGGCTTTTTCCGTCGTTGAATATCCTATGGATTAGCGACTGTACTCTGACAGTTATACGATTTGCGCGTTGCTTCTAAAGTTTTTTATGTGAAAAGTACATAAGAGAACTAGAAAAGCATGTAAAATTAATTAAGGAGTAACTATTAATTTTTCATGGAAAATGCTATAAGTACAAACAACTTACAAAAAACTTACAAACAAGTGATGTGACTATTCTAATCACATTTGATGTAAGAGTGATGTGATGTATGAAACAATATAATGTTGTCACATACCTCTTTTGTAAGAGTTTTTATAAGAGTATATGTAGGGGTGGTTCGGTACGGTATACCTTATATTTTTTCTCATACCTTTGTCATACCAAAACTTTCGGTATGCAAAATTTGCATACCTTTACCTTACCGAAGTTTCGGTATATCGCATTTCGGTATACTGAAGTTTCGGTTCGGTAACGGTACGGTATCGGTAAATTACTGTGCATGTCTCCCAATACAAAAAATTATCATAGACTAACGAAATATACTAAATCGTTATTACTGGCGACATATTAAATCTATTATTAAAATGTTACGAAATACAATTAATAATCGATTGATGTCAATTCAATATTGAACAATAATTATTATTAGTATATTTAAGCAGTTCAACATACCACATAATAAAAAGTAACACTGATGGAGTATATGGCCCAGGAACCCCCGGTCCATAGACTCCTACTACTCTATCACAGGCCCAACAAGCCCAAGAAGCGCAGGAGGCCCAAGATATAGCGGCCCAAGCTCAAAGTGGCCCACGGAACGCCCAGGGTAGCCCTCGGCAATATGGCCAAAGGCTCCAAAACTCACAGAACAGCCATATTTGAGCATACGAAGCTACTGGGAGAAAATGGCAGAAAATAGGAGCCTTCGGCATTAGTTGAGCCCTCGGCATCAAAGAAGCCTTCGGCTGAACCAAGCCCTCGGCTACAAAGAGCCTTCGGCCACACGAAGCCCTCGGCTAACAGACTCAATCTTTGAATATTCCCTTTAGAGACAGCCAACCACCGCATTTAATGCGACGTCACATCCACCCACCGCATTTAATGCGGTGCACATGCGAGTGCTGGTGCCACCCCGATTGAGGTGACCCCTCGGCCGTTAGATTACTGACACGTGTACTCCCATCGCATTTATTGATGCTATAAATAGTAGCCCTTATTCCTCTTGTAAAGGACCAGAACATCTCAAGTTCATTAATATAATCGCCTCTCTCTCCTACTTGTTTGCTCTGACTTCTCTCTAGGTTATTCACATAATAACCCCCGGATAAGCTACCCCCGGGTACACTGTCCATCAATATAATGTTGTCACATACCTCTTTTGTAAGAGTTTTTATAAGAGTGTATGTACTTAGTATGTGGCTATTCTATTCATTTTTTCATTAAGTAGTCTTATTCTCATCGGCGCGGGCTTACAAGAATTTCACTTAGTCCACAATCATTTTAAACCAAAATTAGAGATGATGATCCAATTTTTTCACTCATTAATATTAACTAAGTACTATTTTCGCTCCTTAGATCCTATATTTGTTCTGTTATTAACCCTTTAAACACACTTTTTACTTCTAATACTTATCTAATGGTTAAGATTATTTCGTCATAAAAAGTGGAATTAAACTTGTTAGAATTTAATTTTTCTGATGATCCAATGGTTGAAATTAATATTTAATGCTAATGACTACAAAACTTGGACCATTAAACTCAACTTTTAGCTCAAAATTAAGTTGGACCGACATGATCCCCATCGATATTTCTGTCATGTAATAGGTATTAGGTATACTAAATTACTAATGAAGAAGTATAGAATAGAATCACTCAAAAGGCTTCTCAGTTGGTGCTAAAGCTTTTTGAATAAAGGGGTTTCTAAAAATAACTATAGTAATATGAATGTTGGACAAAATTCAAAATGAAAGAGTCAAACATGATAGCCTTCGTGAAAGGTAAAGGTATACATACAATTGATAACTTACAAAGAACAAGACACTTACTGCAAGAGAGATCCCATGTGGATTTAATCTTGTGGTTGCCTAGTGCGATGGAAATATGCACCTTCCCTACTTCCCTACTTAATGGATTTATCCATTCCCCTTTGTCTTATAAATATTTGTGTAGGCTTAATTAAGATTTAACTTTTTAATTACTATTAATAAAAGAAAACATCTCATAAATATTACTCTTCAAAATGTGATTGACAAAATATTACTCAATAACTATTAGTGACTAAAATTGTGTTCAAAATTTACACCGTAGTAACTAAATGTAAGTTATTGTAATGTGAATTTTGGAAACAATAATCACTAATAGTTAGTAAGTCACATTTTTGTTCATGACATTTTTATTAGTAATATTTAAGGGAAAAAAACTTTAATAAAATTCGTCCATATGAGATTTTATATTGATGTGGTAATTTAAACTTATACCTTGAGTCATGTATACATGCTCCATATGAATTTTTAAATGCATCTCTGTGCATTTGATTGATAGATAAAAGATAATAATACATCAAGGGGATAATATAATGATATCTACCTCATTACATTTGAAATCGAAACACTCTAGAGTATGTTAATGTAATTTTCCAAATTATAAACACATATAAACACATATAAGTGTTTTTAATCAATCATAGGCTGCACACAATAATTACTCTACTCGTCACAAATTGATTTGCATTTTTTTGTTTCACAAACTTAAAGTGAAATCCTCTCTATTGATAAGTATTTCAATTTAATAATTTAAATTTACATACTTAGACATTACATCAAATCTTCTATAAGATAAGATTGCAAAGTCCGAATTAGAATATGATTAAAATTGATATCACAATTAAGTGAATAAAATAAAACTATTTTGCAAATCAACTTTATTAGATGGATGTAGTATTTATTAAATTCATTTGTCATTTCTTTCAAAAAAATATCATTTGTCATTTACACTTATTAGAATTTAAATCCAACTATATAAGGTTGACACTTGTAAAACTAATTAGTTATTAAAACTTTTTACACAAACGTTGCTGGTACACATATTTTATACACATTTTGTGTACACTCCTTAATTGTCTGTCTGCGTAGACAATTCGTTCAGAAATTATCTTGTAGACACAAGGCCTTTTGGCCTGGATATTACTAAAAATAAGATAAAAGACAAAAAAGTGAAACGTTTTTAAAAAATCCAAAAATGTGACCAACAACAAATTAGTCCCTGCAATCCAAAGTGACTCCGGCCAAAGTGACTCTGACCAAGTGATTGTCCAACGGCCATAGTGATTGCCCCGTCGGTCACAATGACTGCCCCGCCGGTCACAGTGACTGCCCCGCCGGTCACAGTGACTGCCCCGCCGCCGCAGTGACTGCCCCGCCGCCGCAGTGACTGCCCCGCCGCCGCAGTGACTGCCCCGCCGCCACAGTGATTGTCCCGCCGCCACAGTGACTGCCCCAGTGTCACAGTGACGGCCCCGCCACCACAATGACTCCGGCCAAAGTGACTCTAGTCACAGTGACTCCGCCGCATAGTGACTCCGCCGCATAGTGACTCCGCCACACAGTGACTCCGCCGCATAGTGACTCCGGCCATGGTGACTCCGCCACACCCAAAACACCTCGATATCGAGGATCAAAATTATATCCAATATATTATACCGGCCATCGCCTTCCGGTCAGTTACCACACCACCACGCTGCTGCCGCATTCCACCATCATGCCACCACTGCCGCCGCTGCCCACCACCACCCAGTGCTGCCACCACGTGACCCCAGTCCCGCCCAGTGACTGGCACCAGCCCAAACAACAACCTCCCTGCCTTGCCAGATCCCCAGAAGCCCCAACAACCTCCACGGCGGTGGCCGCCGCCTCCCTTTGCCCACCAGCCTAGTCCATAGCCCTCGTTCATTCCCATATGAGGATCCGGAGTGAGGAATAGCCGTAGATCCAGAAGACAAGGCGGCACCAATCGAAAGAGACGAGCAGATCTGATGCAAAAAGAAGGTGGGAGAACATATGCAGAGATGCACCGATGCAAAACAGATCCGAGACGCAGAGATGATCGATGGCCGTCGCCGTCAGATCCGAGATGCACCGATGCAGAACAGATTCGAGATGCAGAGATGATTGATGACCGTCTCCGTCAGATCCGAGATGCACCGATGCAGAACAGATCCGTGATGAAGAGAAGATCATTGGCTCGCCATTGCCGCTGAATCTCCGTCTGAAATTGCCACAATCGCGACCCTGTCAGCCGGCGGAGGCAAGGCGACGCGGAGGCAGACAACGGAGGCGGCACGGTGGAAGCTGACGGACAAGAGAAGCAGGGTGGCCGCTTAGGAGCTGTCTCCATATGATGTGTGTGCTGTGCGAAGAAAGAAACAGAGAGGATCGATGCCTTGTGCGTGCGGAAGAAGATGACAGGCTAAGATCGATCATATTTGTGGGAATTGTCAAAACAGTCATATCATTGGAATCCAAGAGTCTAGTAATAATATGCGGGTCATTTTTTCTAGACACAAATCTAACCGTGTATGCAAAATGTTTACAAAATATATTTAACCAACATGATCCAACTCCTTATGAATCGATTGAGCTAGGGGTGGAATCTTCATTTGGTATTACCAACTTCCCCTAATGATTGTCACCTTATTAAAAAAATGTAGTTCCTGACTTCCTGTTGATGGACTGATTGGACTCTTTAGCGGACAGTTCAGCCATTCCTTAACTCATTCCTGACACCCAAATCCATCTAAACATAAGACCAAATACGTGAGGCCAATCCATATGCCCTCAAATGGGCTTTGTACCCATTCCTCTCATCTTCTTCCTTTCCTCTCAATCCTTTTCAAATCTTCTGGCATATTGTCCCTTCTCCCTTGTCTTTCCACTTTTATTCTACTCTCTGCCGGTAAGATGATCGGAGGATTCCTCTCTTTGCAAGCCCCTCTTGATCGACCTTACCCCTTTTTAACGCCCCTCCAATCCCATCCTCCGATCAATCCGAGTTTTCAATTTCTTCACTCATAAATACCATTAAATGCGCAGGAGAGAAAATGGGTGTCTCTCACTGTCTCGTTAATTACTGAGTATAAATTTTCTGTTTTGGAAACTGCATGTAGGGGTTTGATGATTGAAGAATCCAACTGTCATCACTACAATAAATAAATCCCTGTTCTTTTTCTTAATTTTCTCAATTTTCTCATTTTGAATTTCCTTAATCTTCGCGAGTCCTGTTCTCGTGTGGGAATGTTTTAAAAATCCGATCTTTACCTGTTTTTCTTTCCTTTGATTGCATTTGATTTCCTTTGATTAAGTTAAACCGTTTCTGGCGTAATGGGCTGTGCCAATTCGAAGCGAAATGTAGTGTGCGAGAATTGCCACGCACCTTTCTCGCCGGGCCGGCGGAGTTTGGACTCCGAACGGCCGCCGCGGAGAAAGGCGGAGAGCCACCCCCACCACGTGGTTGCTCTCACTTCCTCCACCCTTGGGTCGATTCGGCTGGACCCATTAAATAAGAGCCAGGTTCTCCGTGCTGCAGAGGACGGCGGCGAAAAAAAGATTCCGGAGATATCTACCGGCGGCGAGCCGGAGACCATCGACGTCTGGGAATTGATGAAGGATCTAGAAGATTGCGCCCGTCTCGTCCGCAGTTTCTCTTCCCCTGCTTCTACCAATCAATGGTCGGAATCTATTTCGACCTTGGGCTCAAACGACACATCCGTCGGATTCTTATCGGAGTTTGATCCCGCCGTGATCGAATCGTTCCGGAAAGCCCTCTCAGAGCTTCCGCCGGCGGGAACCGGAGATAAAGAAAAAACAGAGGAAGCTAAAACAGGAACAGAGCACAATAAAAACAGGGTCATCTTTTACTTCACGAGCATAAGAGGAATTAGGAAGACGTACGAGGATTGCTGTAACGTTAGATCCATTCTACAGGAACTGAAATTGAAAATCGAAGACCGAGACGTATCTATGCATTCTGGTTTCAAAGAAGAACTGAAAGAGATGTTTGGGGAAGATTACAGCTTGCCCAGAGTATTTCTCGGCAAGAAATACATCGGCGGAGAGGATGAAATCCGGCGAATGCAGGAGGAAGGGAAGCTGGAGAAGCTATTTGAGTGTTGCGAAAAGGTGGAAGAAGGCGGCGGCGGCGACGGCGGTTGCGAGGCGTGTGGAAATATAAGGTTTGTGCCGTGTGACACGTGTAAGGGGAGCTGTAAAGTTTTTTGTGAATGTGGGAATGGGGATGTGGAGTCTGGGTTTGAGAGGTGTCCGGACTGTAATGAAAATGGGCTAATTAGATGTCCGGTTTGCTGTGATTATTAGGGCTCTCTTAAACTGTAAAGAAGAAATGTTTTCCATTAATTTAGACTTTTAGTTTCTTTTTGTATATAAACCAAGTACTCCGTATAATAATTGTATGTTAGGGCAGAAATAAGGCGGTTAACGAACCGAACCGAACCCAAAGTATTGTGTGTTCTTGATATCAGGTTTGTTTGAGTTTGAGCTTGAAGCTGCGCCCTCGACAACCTTTACGCATGTGGTTCAGGTTCAGCTCTACACAGTTTGATTTGTGCGATCAATAAGCTTAATAAACATGATCACGTATAAAAGTTTAGCTTATACTCAAATTATTCAATAAGTACATGGTTTGTTTATAATTATACTTAAATTTACAAAGATATACATATGCAAAATTTGTTTATAATTTATAAGTGCTTGGAGATAAAATTATGTTCGAGCTCGTTATCCCCACTTGTTACGATCGAAATCGTTTGCTTAAGGTCTTAAAAAAAAAGCACAATCCATTAACCGCTCTGACGCTCTGAGCTAAAACTGGCGGTAATAAAACTTTCATTAGGTCTCCAAAATATAAAGAGAGAATTTCCTAATTAGGACTATCATATTTTTTTTTTCATGTATAGGATTAAATTTCTGCCAAGTTTTGCATTACTGAGCTTTAAACATGACTTTTTTTCCAAACTTGACTAAATAACTCCTATTTAGAATATAAAAATATGAAAGTAATGTTTTGGAATTTCAAAACCTTTTTACTCCTATTTAGGGCAATTTAAAAAATATAAAACATTGCTCATGGAAAATTCTCAAAGTCACAATTTTATATTGTGTTGTCAACAGTGTTGTTATGTTCATAATTCTACTGGATCCCAAAAATTGAGCAGGTTAGAAAATGAAGTTATGAGCGTATATGACATACTTGTCATCCCTAAATAAAAGTCTCTTTTTCTTTTTCGGGTTGTCTCTAAATAATACCAGATAAACAAATTAGTTCTATCATTCAATACGTTAAAAATTAAATCCTACTTTTAGACCTTTCATCTAGCTCTCCCATTAGTAAACCCCCAGGTTTTAGAATTTCTCTTATTGTTGGCTTGTTGCTTTGGCAAAAAGAAGTTTTCCAAAACTGGAATCAATAAAAGTTTATCTCAATTTATTTATGCATTAACTAATATTGATGATGACTGATGATTTATGTGTTAAATGTCCCACACCGAAAAAGTTTGAATGAACAAAGTGCTATATTAACACATGGGCTACTCCTCCTACCAGGTTGACCTTTTAGGATGGAACCTCAGGTCTTAACATGGTATCAGAGCCAAATCGATCCATGATGTGGGGCCCTTATGAAAAATGATGACATGATTACAAAACGGCCGGATGAAAAAAAACAACGGACCGATGAAAAAAATGAATGATGGCACGATCCAGACGAAGTGTCTGGTCGTGAGAAGGGGTGTTAAATGTCCCACACCGGAATAGTTTGGATGAACAAAGTGCTATATTAACACATGGACTACTCCTCCTATCAGGTTGACCTTTTAGGATGGAACCTCAGGCCTTAACAATATGAACTCAGATAATGGAGTGAGCTAAGAGTAGTAAAGTAAGTAGTAAGCTTTTAGAGAAAGAAAGCACTAAAATTGACAGGATAACAATGTAAATCTCAAAGTGCAAACCATTTTCTATATGCTAGAAGATGGTTTTTATTTATAGTAAGTAACTTGGGAAGGAAGCTAAGCTAGTATAAAGATGGCACATGTCTCTTGACTTCCTTGGCCAACACATTTATGTGGCATAAGCATGACATTGGTAGCGGTCACGGTGATTCAGCCCAGATATTCGTGCATGATTGCATGGTGATGCTAGCAACTATGTTGCATGGAAACACGAAAATCACGAGGAAGCGGGAAACAAGAAATATCAACTTTTGCTTAAAAGAAAGCTTGTTAGGAGATTTCGAAAAACTCCAAAGAGTTTTCGTAGAATTTCCAAAACGAGAACATACTCTTTCCGGAGGGTTTCCGTGTTACATAGGCTAGTAGGGTATATTTTGATGTAAGTCTTGCGATATGGTATGGGAATGCCTTGTTGCGTCTACGTATGGAATATAGGGTTGAGACTTGAGGCCGACTCAGAAGATGACCCACTCTGCCTCATTTTTTTAATATCAAATCATCATAATGCTTTAATGAAAAATAAAAAACAATATTGTGTTTTCCTTATAAATCAAACCCTAACCTATCGCCATCGCATAGAAACAAAAAATTACAAAACGGGTGATGGTTGACTGAGATTTCAAAATGCTGCTCAAAGTGATCAGAAATAGTCAATATATAATGTAAGCAATAGCTGAACCACCTATTGATTTGTCACCGCCAAATCGTCTGAGTGTGCATCTGTAAATATCTCGTTATGATGTTCAATCGGGCACTGAAGTACTTCTATTGCACCATAGTCAACAGGCAAGCCATCTACGTTTTCTGCTTCATCTGCAATCCTATTCAATGCGCTGTAGTTAGAATCAGAATTTGTCATTGAGTTATTCTTCGGTAAGCTACTCCAGAACTGTTTATAATACTGTGGACTTCTTCCTTGTTTCCACATAATGATGGGAGACATTTCCTTTGCAAGACTTTGAGCATCCATCTCATTGACTGGAAACTCTTGGCTAACACGGAGCAACAATTCAGTAATCAGTTTCAGTGTCATGTAGTTGGCAGTGGGACGGTTCTTCAATGTATTTTGCATGTTGGGTATGCTGGAGCGGGAAACCTTGATTTCGTCATACAACTGGAAGGTAATCAATGGCTCAGGCAGGCTGGCAAGGTAGCACATTATAAGAGCTGCTACATCACGTGGATTAACACCCTCTGGTAGTGCTGCACTTGGATCTTCATTGTATAATGAAACCAACTGCTGGATGGTTTTTCTCTCTCCTTCAGACTTGAATAACCTTTGAGAATTTAGTCCTGATAAAGCAAGATGATTTGCACACTTGACCAATATAGATGGGACATGCCTGGTGGATTTTTGTTGTTGAACAGTTATTCCTATGGCAACTCCAAACACATCAGTGCTTGCAACGCCCTTCTGCATGCGCTCAATATGAGTCAGCAGTGTCTTACTTTTTTGTGCAGTTTTCTTTGCCACTTTGTCGTCGCCGTCGCCGTCGTCATCAAAGATCAGCGTCGTGAGAGAGTCCACAAAGCACAGTAGGTGAACACCCACAGCCATGGAACTAATCGAACATCTGGTAGAGTCCAGATACCACCACAGCCTGTGGTGGGTGCACAGGTTGTGGTAGATCACAAAACCTGAAAAAATGAAAGAAAAAAACTCTACCTTTGACAAGGTAGAAAATGAAAACCTAGACTCTAGTGCGATAAGCACAACAGTGAGCACGCAATGGAATGCGTGCACACTAGCCTCGATGAGCTCAAACGCCCATCTGGAGTCGTGGTCGCCCAGCTGCCTCAGCCCCAGCTCGAGCTGAATACCCAGAATAAGGGATAACAAGCAAGTGCATAAGGCTATGGCGCGAAGTCCCCGGAGAATATGTAGCCTCCGATGACTCAACCTTGTGTGAGTGCCATTTTCCTGTCCGTTCCGCATCTTCTTCGGATAGGATGAAGGTTTTACGTTCCGGTGCTGATGACTTTCGAGTTCCGAGGATGAAGGGGTTTTAGGTTTGGCGTGACGATGACGATGACGGTCCCACTCTGCCTCATTGGTCAAACTTCAGCCCTATGTGTATGGACTTTTTATTTGGTCTAGTTAAGCTTTTCCCGTGTACTATTTACATATTTTGTGGGGCTAGCTTGGCAATATACTCGATCATTTAAATAGATTGGATTTTTTTTATCAATTTTGAAGAATAGTTAATTGAAATTGATTGTCCAATTTTTTTAATGTTTGGTTTTACATATCAAAGACTAACAAAATTGTACGTAGTATTATTTATTTAATTTCCTTTGTTCCAATTACTTTTCTTAGCTTGAATACTATATGCGGGTAAAATGAAATACTACACTCGTACTCGTCAGCCTAGGCCCTAGCTAAAATTGGACATGAGGAAGTGGTGTGATCTTTAGCCTGAAGCTATAGTGTTGATATTGAATCATCAAATATTAATAAAGAAAGAATGAATTGTAACCATATTTGAATATTATTACCATTACATATGTAGCGTGGCGGACGAGAAAAGTAAAATGAAACAAGGATGGGGAAGGGAGTAATTAAGCAAACATGTGACTACTTATATAATACTGTAAAACAATTAAACACTATAAAGCAACTGTCCCACACCAGAAAGGTATAAAACAATTAAACACTATATAAGGCTTTGGGCTACTCCTCCTATCAGGGTTGACCTTTTAGGATGGAATCCCATGTCTTAACATGGTATCAGAACCAATTCCGGTTGTGGTTTGATGTCTTGTTTAGCACCCATGATTAAGGGTAGCTTGTTAAGGGTTTGTTTGGCCCGTTTATATACCCCAATATTGTTCAGCCCGGTTCGGTCTAAGGGGGCGTGTTAAAGCAATTGTCCCACACCGGAAAACTATAAAACAATTAAACACTATATAAGGCTTTGGGCTACTCCCCCTATAAGGTTGACCTTTTAGGATGGAACCCCGTGTCTTAACATATGTATGTATAGTATTGTATAACATTGATATAATTGTTGATATCTTGGGTTATATTATTTGCTTTATTTACAACAATGACTAGATGGGTTCTTGCAATTAAAAAAAAACATGGATGGGTTTTGTCCTGATTATTATGGTTGTTCTATTGCAGCTCTTAAGCTTTCATGATGACTTATGATATGTTAAATTTGTTTATTTAAAGAAGTTTCATTTTAGTTGGTGCAGAGCACTATAGGAATTAGGAAAGGTGGTTTGTATAGACTGCTCGCTTTTTTTCTTTAACTATTTTGTTTAGATCAATATAAAAATTCGAAGTAATCCATGTCTTCTAATTAATACAGAGTATGATATTATGAATTGTAAACTACGTGGTATGATACATTTGGGATGGTTTTTAAGATCACATTAGGTGGAAAAGGTCAAGGAAGATATGCATGATTAGTTGTTGCAATTTTATTAGGGAATTATCTTTATATAAAATAGGTAATATGGAAACAAAAAACGTGCATATCATTTATTGAGATTTAATATGATGGAGATTGCCTTTAGAACTTTAATTCAATTGATTTCGGTCAGAGATCATACCAGATTTAAATAGATCATATCAGACTGGACGTTGTCAGATTTAAATAGGCTAGACCAAATATTAACATATCAGACTTCAACAATTGTATAACA